TATATATACCAGTAGGCCTATGAGGTAGATATATTTAAGAAGGTCATCGGGATAACGTTCCAAATTCAAACGGCAAAGTTCCAATTGTTCCTCTTGAGTCTTCACAGCAGCCGGTAAAAGACCATGAATGCCAAGCAGTTGTCTTTCTTCTATACTAAATGCCATTCCCTGAAAGTAAGTTATTTTATTTTTTTCTCTGATTAATAATTTCATAATTCACTTTTCAACAATTCAATATTTGTCAAAGTCATGATGATGATAATAATAATATTACAATTTATTGAAAAGAATTTAAAATTCGAGATAATCTAAAAATTAAGATTTATTTATTCGTCGACCCAGTTAACGGGTTGTTTCATAAATTCGTCCTTATGGAAAGGAGAAAATTATGTTCTATTCGTGATTGTCATCATTATTCAACCTCGAGGCATGCACCAAATGACTCCCTTTCAAATGGATTATCCTTAAGGGTATATACACTTTACGCGATTGCAAAAATATTTCTAATCGATTCTAGAAATAAATTATGCAACATTTCTCAAATGTCTAATCTAATAGTTAAATATATTTTTTATTATTGGTGCTTAGAGTACGAATTAATATGAGAAAAATTTTGTAATATTTAAACTCGTTTTTTAATGCAACGATTACGACACATTTCGTATAATCATAAATGCAATAATAATTAAAATGTCTAGACAATTAAAATTTTAAAATTGCAAATTTTCTTCCTACTCTGTTTGTTTAAAAAAAAAAAAAAAAACTTAAATATAGAACGGACGTTGTTATTGATTATCAAAGGCATAATTTAATTTTAATCGCGAATACTATTAATAATTTATTTGCTTGAACACAGTTGTATTAGTATAATGATTCTTTGTTAATAAATATTTTGTTTTTAACGCGAATCATGGAATACTCCAAGTAGAACAATCAAGGTTATTTACTGTAAAAAGATATATATATATATATATATATATATATATATATATATCTATATCAATTTTATTTCAAGAGAAAATATAAAGGGGAAAAGAAGGAAGGAGATGGGGTTGGGGGTTAGGGTTAAAGTACGTATATATATATATACTAATGTAAGTCACTTGTATTTTTCCATAGACGTCGGAAGTGGTCGTTGACAACGGTCCGTTTAATACTCGTCTACTTGACGACTCAGCGACACAATCCTAATCGAGTACTATAAATCGTAATAGCCATAAGAAGACACCGACCTTTGCTTACGTATATACATTCTAAAGATTTAATATCACCCGTAAAAAAATTTGTTATTTGATAGAATATCATTCGAATTTATTTTCAATTATTTAAATAATCTTTTTGAATTTATTTAAATTTAGATTAGTGAATGCAATTATGTTGGATAATTGGGTCATGTTAAACAGAACGTTAACGATTATCGAATAAATTTATTTTGAAAAAAGAAAGAAGAAGAAGAAGAAGTAAGCGTTTTTTCATTCCAATTATTGAAATATTTTCAAAAAAAGGAAATAAGAAGAATGAATTATTCAGGACGATTCGAATAACTTAATTCTATCTAATCTCAACAGAACAACATACAAACCAATGAAGTTTCTCTATATTATTTTAATATTATTTTAAATAGAAAAAATTTACAAACTACGATAAATAAAACGCTGATGAGAAAGATCCATTTGATATATCATAAAACGTGAATCCAATTTCAGTGCAAGCAAAATAAAAAAAATAAAATAAAAAAGAAAGAAAAAATTAGTACATGTCAAATCGCAAAGATAATTATGGTGAATGTTGCAAAAGCAAAGAAAAGAAAAAAAATTTTTTTTAAAGAAACGGGAAATATTGGAAAATTATACCCTGCCGTCCAATGCAAGAAGAGCTTCCGGTACGTTAGGTGTACGAGTCTTGTCAGGTATTAGACTCCACCAATCGGTCTCCATGTAAAGAAAGAAAAAAAAAAAGTAAAAGGAAATGAAACTTTTTCACAAACGATTACACAAATTATTATTTGTCTTTAATTTTGTTCTTCTCGAATATTTCAAATCTCATGACTAAAACAAGCGAACGTGGAAACGGTTGCTGGGTTTCTTGACTCTCTCTCTCGTGCTGGCGACCGACCCCTTCCTTCGGAGAAGTCCGTTGTTCAACCGATCGATAAAAGGGAACCAACCCCTACGATTTCTTTTATGCAAAGTATAACACGCGACCTTATTGCATTCATCATCATCATCTTCCTACCGTTTATGAATTCTCGTGTACTAATCACTTTCAAAATTATGAACTATCTTTAACGTTGACAAAGAGAATAATTATAACATGTATATTAAAAAGTTCAAATAAATGTGGATTAGTATTAAATCAAGGATCGGATAAAAGTATCGATGCATATGTGAATGTGTGTGTGTGTGTGTGTGTTCAGAGATAACATTTAATAGAGATAGTTTGATAATCGGTATTATGGGATTATTTTAAGTATTAGATAATGTTTGAATTTACTTTGATTAAAATCAATGATTATGAATATTACGTTTTTTGTTTAATACTTCTAATTATCATCAAAATTTCAATTTCATATTGTTAAAATCATTTTAATATTAATTTAATTGATAAAATATTGTAACTAATCTAATATAGATTTTGATACATAGTGCAATAATGCTATAATGTGCGCAAACAATAGCGTATCAGATAAAATCGATCTAACTTTTATGGAAACTATCTTTAACAGGTGATTCAAGATTAATGAGTATTTGATTCATTAAATAAAAATGTTATTTGTAGAAAGACAATTAGAGAAAAGAATCAGATAATTAATGAGAATATAATACGGAAGAGAGAACAAGAGAAATTCTGAAAAAGTCCTACGTGACTGTGATCGCGTTGGTCGAACGAATTCGACGAATTTATAATACGTTCTTTCTCGACATATAGTTTACAATTTCGTTTCTATATTGCGTCAGATACCTGTCGTATACTTTTTCTATATAAAAAAAAAAATCCTTTATCATCTATTTTACTTTTTTTGTTGTTGTTTTCTTTTTACTATTTTCATAGCTTTGTAATATTATTCATAATTTATAATATGTTCTTCTCTCGGAACATTTTATAAATAATATTTGAAGCCTTTCACTTTTCGAGTAGGCTTATGAAATAATCTCTTAAACTTGTCAACTTGATAACTCAATATTTATTCATCAAACGTTTGTAATAATCGATATAATTTTTTGCTTCTCAAAAAAGAAATGTTATCAGCGAAGGTCGTTTAAAGGATTCCAACAAAAATTCATTATAAAGTTTATTTTATTATCGAGTTGATATTAATTCTCGACATACATTTTATATATTAAAAATGTAAATTAATTAAGGGATTCCTCAAGCAACAAGTCATAAGTTAAACTTTAAACACCCTAATACGCAAGCGTATGAATTCGATCACGCGCATCTACTTACACAAATTGCATTAGTAAAAAGTTAGAGCAACAATTATGTCGATAATAATAATAATAATAATAAAAATTGTATTAAATATGAAAATAATTGTTTTTTAATGGTTACAGTTCTAATAAGCAAGAAGAATAAAATACGTCCATTGTAACGTGAAATGATCGATATTTGAAGTATAACAACAGTAACAGCCCTACCTTATTCAATTGAGGATTCTTGATGTGGTCAATGCCACGAAGAAGGCCATGACATGTAGCATCACCAGTTCCAGGTTGACCCAGACGATCACGTTCGAGGTTCGACATTGTCAAAGATTGTTTGTTTCTCGTAGTAACTCTTGCACTGCTTTGAATCCTGGGAATGAAGTGCGAGACTGAATACAGATTGCAAATGCTCGTCGGTAGGGTAGAACGCAATACTGCCATGACAAGGTGAGGTTAGAATATGTGGGGGTATGAAGGATAGGTTCTCAAGACCGTACACATCGATTCCAATTATCAATACTATCAATTTTTTTAAAACTTTTCCCGATTTATTTTTATATCTACAGTTCAAATTATTTAGATATTTATATATAATTAATCATAACTAGAAGACTATGTAACTACATGTAGTTATCAAAATTTGTTCCATAATCTAAATTTCATTTAAGCTAACTTATGTGTTGTGTCATGATTGTTTTAATTTATGAAAATTAATTTCTCATACTGTATTTATTTATTTATTTATTGTTTAATACAGTATGTAATAATAATTTAAATAATAAAAGAAAATTCTCGTGTAGGCAAAATGTTGTGTGAATTAGTATTAAAAAAATTCATATTGGAATAGTTTTTTAGACTTTATAAATACGAATAATTGTGAGAATTTTATTTCTTTTTTGTCGGGTGTTCAATTTGATATGTACGGCCCTGAGAAATAATCAGATGATCCTCTGGCATACGATCGCGCAATGCGCAGTCGTGCGTTGACGTCCATTGAGCGACGAGCTTCACGCAAAACGGCGTATTATTTTCGTCAAATTTATTTCATTTAATTGTAAGCTATCTCTTTTAAAAGAAAAAAAACTTTCCACATTTTAATAAGACTTTCACTTAGAACATTGCAAATGAATTTATGAGTGAAACACTTAGTCATAACGATTTCTAGAGAATAAATGTACATATTATATAAATAATAATAAATGTTCTTGTCTGTAAAACTGTAAATGTTACAATCATATAATAATCGTTTTTTCTTTTTTTTTTCATATTTAAGAAATTGCAAGTAAAAGTAATATAATAAAAATATAAGTAAAAAATAAAACACAATTTTTTTTCGATAAATTTTTTTGTATTATAAAAAAATTACACTTATATAATAATAAATGTTGTATTTTTGATTAGAACATTCATAAAGTCTCGTAGCTCGATATTTCTAGCGTTATTATCCGTTTTATTATTTACTAACATTATTATACTAAAAATACGATGATAACAAGCGATAAAGCAATAAGTGCACCAGCCGGTGCACTTTGTACGACGATTATTAAAATGCTTGGTATGTAATATTTAACTTCGTAACCATGTCCTTTTTGTTCTTTTTTCAAGAAAATGTATTCAAGGAAAAAAAAATACCATTTTTTATTATTACAGCTATAACAAAAATATTGAAATATATGGATTATTATTAAACGTAATCTAGGAATTGATGATCAAACAAATTGTTACGAATGATTATTATTTAATAATTACTCCGATAATTTATATCATAATTGATATAATATTTATTTTGATAAAAAAAAAGAATATAAAAAACAAAAATACAAAATAAAAAAAATAGAAAAAAGATACGGAAGAATTGTTTCTTGGTGGAAAAAAACGTACGATAAAAAGTTACCCGTTAATGGTCAGCTGATCGTCTTGACAGGTGACAAGTTCAAGGTTACTATTGGTAGCACGATTCAAACTGGTCGAACTACGATTAAAGGCAAAAGAACATCTTTCAAAGAAACGATCTAATAAACGTCTAGAGGACATGATTCAAAATTATTATTAACTGTAATAATACAACACTCCGTTACTTTTGTATGATTCAACATCTCTCGACATACTGAATTGTATATCGGAACTATCGACTTATGTTAGACTAGGATTTAAAATCGATGAACACGCGATTACTACAGTCGACATCTCGCATTCATAATTTAGATAACAATTTCATGCACGTGTTGTTGTGAAATAACTCAATCCAAGACGAAATAAACATATAATCGTAAATTATTTTATTGTTATATTTATTTCTATTTATTTCTATTTTTGAGCTTTACGAGAAAATAAAAATAGAAGACATTTTTTTTTAACTTATAATATTAATATTCAATATTTTTTTTAAGAAGTTTCATTTCTGTTTATCTTTATTTTATTATTCTTTTTCTTTGTAGCATGATCAAAGCGGATGTATGGTACCTTGCCCGAGTATCGTATGACTAACTTCTCTAGCTGACCATAGTGATGATAAGTATAATAAAAATATATAAGTAGATTTGAACTCACCAATCATAAATATATCTCACCGTAAAACATTATTTTTTTTGCGAGTCATTAGTTGATCATACGACATCGATTGTAGGTCAAAGTTCTAATCGTGTATAGATTAAAACACATTTTTACATCACCTTAATTTATCATGTAGTAATTAGTTTGATATGAATTTTTCTATGAAATAGAAAATAAAAACAAAGGATATGATATAATTCAATATTAAAAAAAAATGTTAACGCGCGATTACGTGTTACTTTCATATTTGAAAGGCTCGTATTAGTTGAGTCAGTATCTTAACTCTAATTCAATCGAATTAGAAAGGACAGGTTATACAGAAAATTTATTATAAAATTGTAAAATCATTTTAAAATGCTTAATACAATTACTGTAAATGTCAACGGCCTTTTATCAATGTTGTGATGGTAAAGCAAAGTCGTGAAATAAATAAAGAAGTATTTTTTTTCACAAAGATCATTTTCTTTTATTTTTTATTATTACGATTCAGACAAAACAAGTGATTAACAACATAAAAGTAAACATTTCAAAATATGATATTATATTATAGTTGATACAATAATACAAAGTACGATCGAGTAAGAATATATCTTTGTTATGACTGAACCCATCAATCTTAAAACTGACAACGCATTTGTTCTTCAATTATCTAATTAATTATTCGAATAAACCTTGAATTAAATTCAAATCTTTGCTGACATTAGATTACATATTATATATATATATATTTAAAAATAATAATTATGTATTTCAGGATATCAAAATACTTTGCACGGATGGATAAATATTGTTTTAAAATGAAGAAAAAAATGTATAAATTTTCTATACTTATATAAACGACTGATGATGATGTTAGACAAGAGTAATCTAATACGAATGCTAGACCACTTATCATCGTGTTGAAAATCAAGGACAATCGTAAGAGATAAACTTATTCTATTATATCTACTCTTAAACTTTTTAGTTAGATTGTAAAAAAAAACTGCTTTCCCAAATGATAGAAATTAGAATTACATAAATGTGTACATAAAAAAAAAAATAATTCGACTTACATTCTGTTGTTTCTTGAATAATTTTGTAACTCCTTCGTATTTGTACTACCCATAGTTGATGAAATTAATTTTGTTATATGCATATACAAAAAAAAGTATGTAGGAAATATAATCTTCGTTTCTTTTTTGTCAGGTTTTTTTATGGTTTTGTTTTGTGATTTATAATGTCGGGATAAATGAGATTGAAAAAAAAAAAAAGAAATGAATTAAACTACGCGCAAACAAACGTCACTTTCGTTTACAGAGAGAAATCAAGAAACTCTTCCGATCGCGAAGAAATCGCGAACGTGACTGTGCCATATGAAAACGTTGGAGAGAACGAATACTACTAGTTGTGTTTGCCAAAGCGTAAACGATGCCGTTTTCAAATCAATTTTAAAAATCAAATTTACAATGAAAAAAAAGAAAAAAGAACTAATTACTACTCGAATCTTCCATAAACAACGAGGGAAAAAAACCATGAATGATATGCTTCAAAGAATTTCCCCGTTATTTTTTGTGTGTAATCCTAAAAAAATGTATTCGATATAAAATATATAATAGCAACGTTTGGAGAATAATTTTAACGCTATAGAAAAAAGAAATAAAAAGAGAAAAAATATTTGCATTTGTAAAAAATAGTATGTATATTTGTATTTGTTAAAAAAAAAAAAAATAATAAGAAGGTTAAACGCAAGAGGAAAATTTTTATTGCGCGAGTTTGTATTATTTTAATGGAAGGTGACGCGTGCAATAATAATTAGATACGACTATTGGCAATGACTTTTAAAAAGTTAACAATTAATCAGCTGATATATGAACATCCAACTTTTTGACGTCTTATAATGTTTTTATAATATATTTTTAATTTAATATACATATCCATGTATATATATATGCAAATATCTGTTTACATTTGTAAGAAGAACGGAAATATTTTTATGATTGTTTTGAAATTATATTTTATTATTCTCCTGTTTACGTTCGTACAGTGTCGTACAAAAGTATTAACGCGAACTAAATTTTTCTATAATATTACTTGGAAAATTTGTAAAAAATACGATGCATTATTTAGAATTATCTTTACTTGTTTTAACTATAAAATAGTTTTTCTTTTCCGTACACCTATCTAATCTTCATGGCTCTTAAAATATACTTAAACTTTAGAATTTTAGGGAATATGTTTTGACAAAAGATTATACTAAAAATGTAATCTGTTGTAATTATTTTGTTCAGCACTGTCCATATAAATCTAAATATAAATTTATATAAATAGATACAAGGAAAAATGCTTATAATAACAAGAACTTGATTTTGTAATCGTATAATTGTAATTTACCTTAAGTAAGTATACATGTTATAGGTATAGTAATTTAGTACGATTTCTCTCTCTCAAAAGCATATTCTTTATTATAAAAGAAACACGTTGAAGTAAATACGTAATTTCGAAACTCTCAAACTGGGTCATCTCGTGGTCTTTAGTTTTTACTACAATTCAAACAGACTATGATTTAACTGAAAAATTACGTGAGATAACGCACGCTTATCTTTTATTGCGAAATGACAAATCTTTTTTATCGTAAAAAGTAATCGATGATATAAATAGCACTATATATATATGATATTTCGAAAAATTCCAAAATACCGAGATGGTGGGATTAAAATAAAAAAAAAGAAATTACGTTGTATTTTATGAAAGTACTTATGCTCAATAGTACTCCATTTTTTAAAAATAGCCTTGAATTGTTCCTATCTGTTACGTGACTCTTTGGTTGTTATTTTTGTTGTTAAAAAGTATTACTTTATTTTTCCTTTTTTTTCCAATATTACATAAATAAGTGTAAAATTTATTATAAAATACTTAAAATAATTATTGGAATAGCATGCTACTAAAAATATATCATAATATATTATTTGTACTATACAGTTTTGAGTTTATGAGTATTTGTTGATTTTAATCTATAGACTGTAAGTGTGGCTCGTTGGTCTAGGGGTATGATTCTCGCTTCGGGTGCGAGAGGTCCCGGGTTCAAATCCCGGACGAGCCCATGACCCTTTTTTTTTTTTCTAATTAATGCTTTAAATATATTATCTCGATACATAATCTCGAATATATCGAAGAAACGATATTAATAATGCATAATTTTAAAAAATGCGATTAATCGCAATAATGACATCATAACTTATCGATTTCAGTAGTCTATATGTCACATCAGTTTGTTGATAAAACATGGCGCAAGTGTGGAGTCCGTCAAAGAAACATAGCGAATTTGCAAGGTTAGCTTTTTATTAATACAAATGTGAATGATTTTTTTGTCTTATTTTCTTAATAGACATTTTAGAATATATATGCATGTTAATTCTTTTATTCAGGACATGTGTCAGATACATTCCATCTGTTTCCTAACCTCTTTTATACTTTTTCTCTTTTACAATAATGATATGATATTTATAATAATAATTTTTTTTGTAGGTGGGTGTGCATTTATCCAGTATATTTAAACAGTAAGAAAACTTTGGCTGGTGGTAGAAAATTAACCAAGGAGAAATGTGTTGAGAATCCTACTGCACATGAAATTCTTGACGTACTTGTAGCAACAGGATTTAATGCTCGTTTGGAAAATAAATTACATCCACGTGAACGCAGTAAAGAATTGCCATTTTATGGACGTGTACGTGTACAATTGAAACAAGATGATGGAACACCAGTTAGGCCTGAATTTCCTACTAGAGATTCTCTTCTGCTACATCTCGGTACTACGATACCGAAGTTAAAGACACGTCAAGGAAAACAAGCTTACGGAGACCAATCTTCTCAATCATCTGCTTCTTCCTCTAAAAAAGGAAAGGGTAAAGGGAGGAGATAATAAAAGTATGAGAAGATATTGTTCTACGTATTGATAAATATTATATTTTTTTTTTTATTTATTTAAGAAAATATTTTGTAATAGTCTACCATACAGCAAATATGAGCAAATTCAAATATAATATACCTTACGTTGTAACATTGATTGAGTTTATATTCTATACTTATAAATAGTATCCTACGTAAGAGTATGTATCGAGTTATATGACAATGTTGGCGTATGAAATTTCAGAAAACTGCTCGATAATATTATTGTATTATTACTTTCATTGATTTTATATATACATTTTTTTTGTAAATTTATTGTTCTCGTGATTTGTGTTTTGGTAAACTTATTTTATTTTTATTTTTATTTTTTATGAAATTGTTCTCACAGTTGGAAAGTAGTTATTTTGTAATAGAATAATTTGTCTTTTATGTTGTTGCAACATTAAAATCTGAACTTTTAATTGGACAATTGGAAGTACTGACAGATTCATCAGTATTCATAAGATTATTGTTGTCACAGTTTACAGAGTCCTGTGATTGAGACGAGTTCATTACTTCTGATTGTGTCATAGAATGCATTTCTTGCGGCATTATATTTACAGGTTGAAGAATGAAAGCTCTAGGCATGTTATCATAGAAACCACTCATTGGTGATCCAATTAAATATTGCGAAGGATAGATTGGTGTTAAATATTGTTGATTATATGGAATATTTTGGAAATTTGTAGGAGATGTACTCGTTCTTTGAATAGTTTCTTGTAAAGCAGTTTTCTGAAAATATTATTTAATTATCTCCATATATTATTAAGAAAGAAAAAACAATACTCTTTACTTACTGAATTTATCGTAGGTGTTTTATCATCTTCGTTGGTAGAACCAACAATAGGATTGACTTGTTTAGTCTCATTTTCCTAAAATAATTTGTGTACTGTATTAGTAATTGAATTTAATGATTACATGCTTATAAAATGTACATATTATACTTACAATATTATTTCCATTAACAACATTTTGGTTATTATTATAATTAGAAGAATATCCAGCAGAATCTTGATATATAAGATTATTGAGAAAACTACCTAATAAATGATCATTTACAGGATCTCGAACTACTCCATGTAATGCATCTGAGACACGTTTTAAAATATTTGTACGTGCTCGAGTTCTTGGCGATAATTTTCCATTTACCAAATTATTTCGCGAAGATGCACGATATCTTAACATATTATTTTTTGGTTCTATTACAGTATTATATGGACTAGCCATAACATATCCATATGGACTCGTTGCAACAGGTGCAATAGGCATCTCATTTGGTACAAAGTATACAGGATTATACAGTGCACCGTTGCTGTAGCTTCGCTTCAACTGATTATTTGTTATCGATGGCTGCTCATCCGGAGTTTGACTGCTAGTTTCATCTAAATTAAGATATGAATTTACCAATGGAGATTTGTCGCTATTACATTCCTTTTCCGGATTCATATTCTGATTAGCTGCTTGAACAAAATACGCATGGCCATTTGCTGGTCCACCATTAACAAAGTATGTCACTATGCGGTCAGCATCATCTGTTAAATTATATACAAATAATTAGAAATTACATTAATAATTCTAAATTTATTAATTATTTATTTATTTGAATCGCTAATAAGTTTTATCTTACGATGTTTCATATGTTTTCTTGATCTTAACGCACAGCGAATAGCTCGGTCTTCATTAGTAAGCTCGTTGGAATCTAAAGTAGGATCAACGTATTCTGTTTCTCTATTTCCACGAATTACATTTTCTGCATCTATAATATAATATTGAATAGAGCATAAGTTTGATAATAGTGTTATTTTTTTTTGAAAGTAAATGTAATACCTGTATTATCTAAATTTTCACACACACAATTTTCATCTTTAAGGTTTTCTATGTTACCATTATTAAAACAAAATTCAGTGCAAGCTTGGACATCATCAATTTTGGATAATTCTCCTGCGACTAATTTTTAAATCACATTAATATTATATATTTAACAAGTTATTAAATTGTTATACATTGGATTTTACAAACCAATTACTCGTAAAGCAAAAGCAATCGTTAACAATTCAATCAACCCAATCATGATAAATGTAATATTTTGAAATACTTGATTTCCACGTTACACCATCAATATTCATTAATATACTGACATCATTTAAAAACACGCTGTTAATTTAAAGCTCCTGATTTCAATAAAAAAATTGCTGATTGCGAATTTCTTTTTCCACATTTTACGTCGTGGTATTTTCTTTTGTTTTGTGGCATACTTTATAAAAGAATAAACATTCTGTGTATTTTGCAAGAAAATGATACTTTTGCTTTCGTCAAATGTTCAGTTTTTATTTTTTAATAATTGCTTAATAACTTTATTTCATATTTTTTTTTTTAACTTTGTTTCAAAGTATATGCGATTATATTTTTCAGTTTTAAATATTTATAAAATTATAAACATTTAAATAGATGTTAAAAATTATATGATATTATTGAATAATGTGCGTAAGGAAAATTAATAATACAAAAAAAAGTAAAAAAAAAAAATACCTTCCACCGTGACAATGTTTTTACACATTGCCGTGACCAGGATTCGAACCTGGGTTACTACGGCCACAACGTAGGGTCCTAACCACTAGACGATCACGGCTACGGAAGGTTGTGGTATACGATCTCTTTATTTTATACATATACAATTAATTTTCTAAAGAATAAATTTACTCGATAAATGAGATATACAAAATTAATGTATAATCATATGATTATTAACAAAGTACACATATAAATTTTTGTACATTAAATATGAAAATGATAAAGGAAATAAATGAATCGAATAATGTGTACTCGTACTCATTAGAACTTAAAAGAACATTAATATTTTTTCTATGTCGTTTGAAATACAATTCTCAAATAAACAAAAAATAAATTATATAAATTTATTTTCAGAATTAACTCTTTTATGCCGAGAAAGTTTAACGTGAGTTTGTAAGGAGCACCCGGCTAACATGAGATAAGAGAAAGTACGAAGAAGAAGGTATTTTATAGAGTCCTTGTGAAAGAAAAAAGAAAACAGAATCGATAAGGTAAAAATCCACTTTATTTCTTTTTCTTTCTCTTTCTCTGTTTTTTTCTCTGTTTCTTGTTTTTTTTTGAATTTACGCGGGCAAATTTATCGAACCGTTTAAAAAAGGGCAGTGATGGCTTGGAAATGGGCTCATAGTATAGGAATTAACTTGGTATGTGTTCATTCGTGACTTTTAGGCTTTTATGCGATCCGGATAAGAGCGGGCTTTATGCGACCGCCGATGTTGCTGCGGCGTCGTGGTTTTTAATTACGAGGACGTTGACGACGACGTTGACGACGACACCTACCACTGAATCACGTAAGGGGGAGGCTTTTTTTGCACGTAGGCAGGTAGAGGAAATTCCGTAGGTAAGACGAGGTGGAGACACATTTTCTCTACAAGAAGAAATATATATATACATATATATGGGTAGATATATAGTATTAGAAAACTCAATGATGCCGTGGAAAGAAGAAATTTGCCGCTCACTTTCGACAGGGCCGTAAGAAAAGATTTTTCTTCGTAATAGATTTATAACGAAATTAATCGAACGAGAAAAATGTACTAATATATAATGTTAAATTAATGAAATATTTGTTATTATAATTCTTACATCGATCATTATAGATTCGATTGAATTTTTTCTACTATTAAATCTTAAGATGTAAAAATAATAATAATAATAATGATTTATTTAATACAAAGTCGGGGGGAAATATATATGAAACACTCGATGTATACGTTCCTGTAAGATATGATGCGTGCGCATACAACAAATGCGCGAGCATCTGATTGATGCGCGCGCAGCTCTAAGTTGGGTGCGCAGTTCCAAGTTGCGTGCGCAGCTCATTGATTAGCGAGCATCGTAGCCATTCGTACGAACCATGCAGGTGCATGATATCAGAGAGTAATTGTTTGTATTAACGGTGTTTTTATCAATAGAATTAAATAATTAATTATTTTATAGAAATTTTATTGTATTCTTGTAAAAGTAGAAAATATATATATGTTCAATTATTAGGTTATTTTAATAATAATTGAGTAATTGCATTTAAATGTAATTAATTAGAATCATTGTTTTTTAAAATTGATAAAATATATTGATAGTGATATTTTTTACATTGATTAATATATCTTTTAATTATATTATAATGTTTTTACAGTTATATATGTATGCTGAAAATACATCATAAAATATTTCTAACGATACATATCGCCATTCGATCCTCCCCCATGCACACCACGTGACTTGCCAATCTTAATCGGCATGATTTTGAAATATTATATCATTCATTTTTTATGGATCTTATTGAAAGACGATAAACATAAAAATTATTGTCCTGAAATAAAGAAAAAAAATCGAATATATTTACATATTTGTATCTAGTAAATATCAATCTGTCAGTAGTGCGCTTCGTATTGCCGCAATATCAGTGCTTTTAAGCAGCGCGCGTGACCCGACGGAGATTTTCGTAAGTATTCGCGTGGCGCTGAACGTGTTAAAAATATTAATAACTATATCCAAGATATATACAAAATATATGCAAAATGCACTGTATTTGACACATGCGTCCCCAAAATATTGTACATGTCTACCAGAGCGTGCGCTTCGATCGTTTCGTTATCCCCACCCTATGATACTCACAATTCCTATATTGAGATGTCACAAATTATGAGACTTATTATCTTTTACAATTTCAAATGTGCAATTCTGTAAAGACAACAAAATAAATGAAAATAATATTTTAATGATACTCATAAAATCTGTTTATTAATATTAATTAATAATTATTTCATTATTACGTTCTTTCAATTTGTTATTTATAGTTCGATGAAAGATTCAAAATTTTTTTCGCGCTCGCAGACGAATCTTTGTGAGGTAGACTTCCGGAATCGTATTGCTCGAATGGCGGACACCGTGGTTGTCGTTTCTGTCAAGTACAATAATTTTGATTCTGAAAACTCATGTAATATTAGTGTATTGGATGTATTGGAGTGGAAAAAAACGGGGTTTCGTGAAAAATCGAAATATTTTACTTTTACTCGGTGACTATTTGAATGATCTGTAAAACGGTTGTAAGCACCGGTATACTTACAAGTTTTCGTTCTGTCATACAAACAAGATAATAATCACCATTTCTAGCTGGAGGCATAAAAGAGAAGTTGAATTTGAAATATTACTCAGGAAATATTACGAATATCAGAAGAACCTATAAACTATGCGAATCAGATGATTCAAAGGACATTACAGAAAAAGGAAATATTACAGATTTGAGTTAGTTCCCAATTTGTGTCTTTATGACGCATCGAACTTCATACAAGCGATTTTTCTTTTGCTGAATTTTTTTTTAATTTTTGGATACACAGAGAAAGAGATATCATTAATGTATTTTTCATCTTATGAAAATCTTTTATAAGAATTTTTGATCTCTGTCTCTGTATTATATGATAGAATTACAGATTATGTATACTTCATTTTATTTATTTATATTTAATATTGAGACAGCTTCATAATATTTTGAGAAATATTTTCATGTGTTTTGCCTTTTTCTTTTTAAATATTATATTTTCTGTCCCATTTATAATATCCCATTTATTATATAAATAAAATACTTATTTATGCTATATGTAGTTAATAATAATTTTTCATTCTTTACTCTGTCATTCATTCCATTGTAGTAAATCAAATGTAATACAATATCTATCTTTACAAAAATTGTATATTTTAAATGCAATATTAAATGCAATGCATTACAGATATAGTTATGGAGGATAGTATGAGTGTCAAGTCTATGGAATCAGTGGCAACCAGCGATGAATATGAATTTGTGAGTGACAAAGGTACTACCAAGCAACAACAAACGTTACTTGAAGCACCAATGTTAAAAATTGCTAATAACGGAAATTTAGAAGATCTACAAAATAATCTTCGTGAGGTATATAAAAAACCAAATTAGTGGAGAAAATGAAGAGTTGTAATTGTTTATTTACTGATTTTGAAATTGTTTTGAAATGGTTCAAGGTATTAACGGAAGATTCAAAAATGGAGGGTAGGGACTATAAATTAACAAATCCTCAACAAAAAGCTAAGAAAATAGGACACAGCCAATTTTATGATGTTAGTTCTTGTATAAATGGTACAGAAAAACAAGATGTAATGAAACCTGATGATTTCATAGAAGAGGGTAAGTACTACTTTGTTTTTATTGAAGAATATTCGACGAGTTTGTTATAAAAGAAAATTTACAAATTGCAAAAGGAAGATTTTTATGTTTTAGAATTAAACACATTGTCACATGTTCAACAAGAATGCACAATTTTCAATGGTGTTACATATTTGGGAGCTGCAGCAATAAATGCACCAAAATCAGAATGTGAAATACAGCGAAATATGAATATCTTAAATGCTGAACAATCTCTTAATCTGGGTATCAAAATTTCTGTCTCCGTACCAAGTAGTTCTCAAGGTTCTGTTGTGTAAGTAATTTAGTAATTTGATATACATACTAGATAAAGTCAATTGAAGGTTTATAAAATTATATAATAAAATGTTAGATTAAATTTGATGATTAATAAAGTAACATCTAATTTTGTAAAATAGCATTTAATTTTTATTATTTTCTATAGTTTATATGATGCTGCCACTCAGCAACCAATTGCCCATTATGAAGTACAACGAATTCTATTTTATGCACGTGGAGAAAGTACTGGATTGTGTGCTGCATGTTTTGCTTTTACATGGTCTCATGGAGATACTTTGGAATCTGCTATTTATCAATGTCATGTTTTTCGATGTAATATACCAGAAGCAGTAAGTGTTGTATTATTTTGTATTTTTCTTTATATGTATTATTAATCAATTGTTCTTATACTTGTAGGTTGGGCAAGTGTCAGCTTGTTTTTCTAAAGCCTTCCATAGAATACCAAGATCAATGACAAATTCTTTAACAGGAAGTGACTTTAGTAATTATAATTCAGGTGGTGAAAAAGTTAATTCTCGTGTATTTATTTTTGAAGTTAGCATGGAAGTTAAGGAAGAAGATGGAAAAGGTGGGTTTAGTACTGTTCCTAAGGACAGAAATTGTTTCAAATTTCGGAGTAATATAGCAAAGCAAGTTTGTTTGAGTATTCAACAAGTTTCCAGTAAAGAAGGAGGTATTACTCTTGAAGTTGAAAGATGTTTTGGTGTTCTTGTTAGCCCAGGACGTAATGTGAAACATAGTGATATGCGATTACTTGAAATGGTATGCAATATTAATATGTATATGATATCTATATTATCATATTTATCATATTTATAAAAATGATTGCTGTTATAGCAAGTAAGCACTGGACCAATCGTCCAGGATCGATGTTACAATATATGTGGCCAGTGGGATCCGGCTGATCCAGCTTTGGAAACTCTTAATATAGAAACACCTAGAGAGGGCAAAATATTCATGACAGTAGCAGTTGATTTAGTTATAAGAGGTATCAGAGAACCTGTCAGATTCGTAATTGAAACTTCTGTTAAAGTATTTCCACAAAACGAGAGATTTTGGTACTTCAATAAAAGAAATTTAGTACAACAATTTTATCTTAACTCTAAAGAGGTAAAAGACTTTTTAAATGCAAGCATTATGTTATTATTATATAAATGACTCTAACATTGTATAGTTTCATAAAGTTGATTTTGTTTACTACAGATAATATCTGGCGATGGAAGCGAAGTTCATTACGAGGTGCAAAGTATAGAGACATCAGGAGAATTAGATAGAAATAGATTAAATCTTGCTCTTAATTTAGCTTCCTTAATAAGATCGTCTTCTTTGACTAGCATAGACACTTTAACTCCTAAAGAAGAAATAGATTCAGGTTTTTAATCATATTTTTTAGTATATATTATAATATAATTATTAAAAAGAGGGAGAGAGAAAAAACATAATATATTTTCATTTATTCATATACAGATGGAGATGAGCCAATGTTAAGTGGAACAGGAGAAGTATCGAAAGATTGTTCTGCCGGTGAATTAGCCAGCTGGGGAGAAGTTCTAGAAAGTTGGCAAATTAATGAACAACGTCCAAAACTTTTAATAAAACTCACAAGACAAGGAATCCCTGAAGCATTACGTGGTGAAGTATGGCAACGCTTAAGTAATTGTGACAATTCCCAGGAAATGATGGATAAGTATAGAACACTGATTACTAAGGTTAATATATTCAATTATTTTTATACAATATCCTAACAACTATTAAAATTCTATTTTAATCAGTTATAACTTACGTTCACACATATATTGTAATAGGACAATTTATACAATATAAAGTTATAATATTGTCGTAGTAATATTTATGAAATATATTAATAGGAAAGTAGCTGTGAAAGTGTTATATTAAGGGATATCAACAGAACATTTCCAGCACATGATTTTTTTAAAGAAACTGGTGGTTTAGGCCAAGATTCTTTATACAGAATAAGTAAAGCATATGCAGTATATGATGAAGAAGTTGGATATTGTCAGGGTTTAAGTTTTTTAGTTGCTAGTCTACTGTTACATGTAAGTAATTAATAGAAGTTTTTTTATACATCTTATACATTATTCATATATAATATTATTATATTGCTAATTCATTTTAATTTATAATATTTAAATCTGATCTCTGTTGTTTTTTTTTTTGTAGATGCCAGAAGAACAAGCGTTTTGTGTTCTAGTGAAATTAATGTACGATTATGGTTTACGTGATTTATACAAAGACAGATTTGATAATCTTCACATGAGGTTTTATCAATTGAATCGTTTAATAGAGGTTAGTCAAATCATGTTTATAATGAAGACTGATCTTTCATATTTATAATTTGTAAATATTATTATTTTCTTCAGGATCAACTTCCTGAACTTTACAAACATTTCTGCGATCGTGGTGTTGAAACACATATGTTCGCAGCACAATGGTTTTTGACTTTATTTACTGCTAGATTTCCATTATATCTTGTGTTTCATATCCTAGATGTTTTCCTTTTACAAGGACTTGACACTCTCTTCCAAGTAGCTCTTGCATTGTTAATGGTAAGTTTTATTTACACACAAATATTTAGGTCAAATGATTTTAATTATTATAAATAACAAATCAACGATTTTCCTTTTTGTTTGTTTTTTCCTTATTTTCAGTTATGCAAAAAAGAGCTATTACAATTGGATTTTGAAAGCATTTTAAAGTACTTTAGAGTCCATTTGCCTAAGCGTTGCAGAAATGAAGAAATATCGCGTTATGTAATGAAATTGGCCTGTTCCGTTACATTGAAGAAATTGAAGAAATATGAAGCAGAATTCATGACATTAAAAGGTAATTTTATATTTTATGTTTGAACGAATCAAGTATGTATATAGAATATACCAAAATTGAAATAATTCTTTGGAGTAAACATATATATAGATTTTATATGCTACTTCAAAGTTATTACTTGTCAAAGTGTATGTCTATTCTATAGAAGGTATAACAATTTGTTTATTCAAAAAGTTTTGACGTATACGATTTCGAAAATGTAGTACTTAATATTTATTAAGACAATTTACCAAAAAACTAGTCAGATTTAATTTGTGACATGGATAAATATTAATCGATGATCTTTAAGTAAAAAAAGAAAATATTCATAATATAAATTTAATGTTATACCTGTATTTTTTAAACATAGCACGTAATATATAGCACATAAACATGTCATATTATATAATCGATGTTATTGAAATTTGACTCGTCGTGCGTGTATGTGTGCGTTGTGTTTGTGTTTGCGTCGTGCGTGTAGGTGTGGGTGCGTCCTGGTTGTTGATGATCGTGCATTATACATGTTGATGTGCACAAAAGCACGTGGCACAAGCTTCATGTTATGTACCAAGGTAAAAAAATTGTGATTCTAGTCACGTAATAATGTATTTTTTGAATGGGATAAAAATCCATCAAAGAAAACTTCAATTACTTTCATTATTTAGATATTTTTAATTTATTCTTTATATAGTGTTATATTTGTGAAGTTTCAAATTTCACAAATATCAAATTATAATAAGTATAAAAAGTAATACTCTTCATATTATTTCTAAAACAAAGGTGGTGGTAAAGCTTTTTTATAATTATTTTGCAAAATAAAATGATTTGCTGTTATTATTGTATATCATTATGCTATTTCAATAAATATTTTAGAATTGTTTGCCATATACCATATTTATCAATAAACATTTTTCTAATTAGAATGAAATCTATATAATATTATATTCAAAAAATAATTTTCTCTTCTTATGTGTATCGAATATTTATTTATTTTATAATATAAAATTTTATGTATATTCACATTTTCCATGCTTTTCTTTTTTTTTTCTATTTGAATGCAGAATTTATACCGCTTTTTATTTATAAATTATTAATCATTAATCATAGCTTATTGAAAAAAAATAAATTATCATTATAGAATATTGTTTACTTTTATCAATTACCTTTTTTTTATCCTAGTTATCCTATTATAACAAAGCTTTAACTTATATTACACAAAGAGATGCATGAAAAATTATGATTATACAAAAAAACATAAACACTATACTAACAAATTGGCTAGAAAATTTATTTTAAGTTCAATCCATATAATATCATTTTTTTTTTTAATTCAAATATCAAAGATAAAAGAAAAAAAATAATTATTTCCATAATATTAATTCCATAATATTAAAGTATAGATATTATAGATAGAAAGTGAAAAGGAAGATAAGATAAGGTGTAGTATTATTTTGTTTAATCATTGTCTATGCATGAATTTTGCTAGAGAGTTAAAAATGGGTAATGTGTTTATGATTTAGATAGATTTCAAGAAATACATTTACTAAAATAGATCTAATAAAATAATGTTGAAAAAAATCTCTTCTTTAAAAAAAGTCTTATAAAATATTATATATAAAGCATAAATATAACTACTCACGATGTATTCATATACATATACATATATATATATTATTTTCATCCAGAGGCTCAAGAAAATGCTGATGAATACAGTAATGAGGTAGAACAATTAAGAGGTACAGTTGCAAGAAATGAGGAAGAAAAACAAAGGTTGGAAGCAGAACTTGCTCAGGTAAAAGAAATGCTACAACGTGAGGTATCAAGAGCTGATGCAGAGAGCCGTCGAAGTAATATTATTATTGCTGAATATAAACAGGTATTTAACAATTTTCTAAATGATAAGTGCACTCGTGTAATAAATCTTTTGTTTATAGATTTGTCAACGTTTGGAAGATGACTATAATGCTGCAAAAATGACTTTAAGTGAATTACGGGTAAATAATATATCAACTATTATTGAGTTTGTTAAATGCAGAAATCATTAAAATAGACAAAACACTTTTTACAGTCTAAGGTTTCAAGATGTGACAAATGTAGAACATGCATAATGGATTCATCTAGTATATTAGCAGATATAGCACATCCTTTAGAAAATCGAGTTGATCCTATGTTACATAGAGTACAAGAAAGAGTAAGAGAATTAGAATTAGAATTGGCACAGACAAAATTAGCTCACGTGGAAGCAGAATGTAGAAATCAGGTAAATTTAAAATATATATATACATAATACATATATAAGATATACTCGTATAATTAATTAATATTATAAGATTTATTCTACAAGAATATAATAATCTGAATATATGTTTAATACAATATAGGATTTGACACATCAATTACATGCAACTGCTTCTGAACTTCAAGTTACGCGAAATAGTTGGCCATGGCTCAGTAAAACTTTGTCTAGTATAAAAGAAGCAGCAAACAAACGAGAAGTTATAGGGCCTTCGTCATTAAGAGATTTAAGACGCGACAGTACTCCTGGAGATGACGTACATCATCATATAATACATTCGCGTACACGTGATAGTCGTGACAGTCTTAAACAAATAGTGTAATATGGTAAGTGATCTCATGATGTGTACAATTATATTTGAATATTACATTTGAAAATTATGATTCTCTTAATGAAAACAACATCACATAACATTATTTTTATTGAATAAGCCAAACATTAGTAGATGATAACAAATATATAGATGTAGATATATGTATATATACAAGATGTATCCTGACGAGTGGTAAAACTAAGCGAGTAATGATTCTAAATGTCAAAATAAATTGAAAAAAAGATCAACATTTTTTTCGTATCTGTTCTCTGTATTATTTCTCTTCTATCTGAACTGCTACGACTTGAAAATTGTTGTCTATAATACTCAACTGTTGCTATATTGCGTACGTCATTGTTATAGTTCGTCTGATAGGAACAGACTAAATGTAAGAAAAATAAGTCGTACGAGTAAAGAGAAAAATATAAAAATTACAGAGCACAGTAAAATACAAAAGTATAAACGAAAGAAAGAAAATGTTTATAGCTGATGATAAATAATTTGAAAGATAGTTAAGTGTACGCATACTTTAGAAAATATTCATAGAAAAATTTTTGGTTGAAAAAACAAAATCGCAAACGAAAAAAATGTTTTCACTTTTTCCGATTTATTTTTACACGTAGAATCACACATCTAACCGTATGTTTCACTTTTTTTGGATGCACCCTGTATATGTAGTTAAATGAAACATTATGAAGTCTATGTATTCGTTACATTATGTAACGCATGCATAATATAACTATGACTAATTCAGCTGTATTATTTCCTATACTAATAATATATATTATTAATTTTTATTTGTTATTTTTAAGAGACTATTTTTTAATATGCATATTTATTTTTATAGATCTTCAATATGTTAAATTTAACATTGTTAATTATCATTTTCTTTCATTTTTTTTTTTTTTTAAATAAAATTACATAAAAAAAGAGCATGATGCATATTTTAGAATAGTCCTAAATATGTGATTTTAAATGACAGAGTTAGTTTACTTGAAATTAGTACTACTGTCCCCTTGTATCAATAAAAAAGTGACCAAGATGTAATGAGAAGAAATCTAAATAAGCAAATAAAACTACAGCGAGATTTCTACATGAACATTCAAACAATTTCTTTATAAAAATGATATTAAAAATGATATTGCTCATAAAGAAAAAAAAAAAGAAATTGTTTACAATCATAAATTTATAGAAAGGAAGGAAAATATTGATCCCATATTTTCTATGGCAATTAATTAAAAATTTGAAAAATAGAATATGTTGCAAAACACTCATGATATGCATGTGTATATTATATATCTAAATGAAAATATACATAATACACAATTATTTTTTTGTTTTGTTTTTCGTTGAGCTATTAAAAAAAAGAACAGGATAGATAAAAAAAGCTGCATTTACTCATTCTTTTTATTTACATTTTATATAATTAATACATAGAGTTTACGGAAGTAAGCTTATTGTAAGATAAAAAGTATTTAAAATAATATTCACAGTCATACATCAAAAGTTAATATTATATATCGCGTTTAATGTGTTTTGAATAATGAAAAAAAAAAACGAAAGAAAAGATAAACAAGTGACAAGAAGAAAACAACAACTAAATGTAGTAGTTGAATAATCATTAATAATTGTAAGTGTATAGGTACACATGTAGTAGGTACCTTTTAAAAATAAGAAGGCAGCTTATCAAATCTTTAATTGTATTATTTACTTCGTAAGATATTTAAATTTGATATTTCTTCTCTTAAGCTGTATAATTCTTGCGTTGTTATTTTTTTTTTTCGTATTTAATAATAATAATTTAAAAAATAATTGTGTATACGCGCGTTGTTACATCGGCATATAAAATCATACATATTCTTTGATTAAAGAGATGAACTTACACGTTTATATAATAATTGATATTTAACATTTAAATACTAATGAAAAGAGATTAAATCAATTAATTATTTACTTTTTTTTTACTGATTGATTCGTCGTATTAAATTTACATTCCAAAGCTTTATAAAAATGATATTATATTTATTGAGTCAGTTATTTTCAAGTAAAAAAAAAAAAAAAAAAAGGCCATATAATATTTTAAAATATTAATTAAGTATTGTATATTTATATTTTTGTACAAATTATGACAATCGTTATTTACCTTTTATTTCAATTAATGAAAAATTTCTTAATATCATGTAAAAGCATTTTGCAGTATAAGTTCATACAATTTTACTAATATCATTTCATATAAGAATAATTAGATATAATACAGACGACTTTGTGTCTGTGTATTAAGTTTTATAAATATACGTATACATGTAATCTGATCATAATAATATGAACTTTAATGGGGATAGATTTTGAATAAGATCAGCTTTTTACAATCATTTCATTGTAAATCATTCTCTCAGTTTTGCAAATATTCATTTAATATAATTAATTATAATATGGAAAAATCAAGATCTATGTGTTTCATTCAGATTTAGTTCATTTTGAAAAAATTGTGAAATATTTCAAGAATCAAAGAATCTTATCACAGCGCACTGATAATAATGACACCACAGTATTCAATAGAAAAATCAGTAAAATAATATATTTAGTCTTCTAACGTTATTATAACTATATCAAATAATTGAACATATTTAAAGTGATTTCATCAAATTTCAAACTTGAGTTTGCCCATCGAGGGGTTATATATTATTAGAATATTAATTTTTCTGTAAATTTACAACAATGAATTTGATCAATAATTACAGAAGATTATTTCATTTCTTAAAATTTCATCAAATAGTGTTGGTATTATAATTCTTTTGTGTAATTAATTTAGATAATTTTGTTTATTTATCGTTAAAACTTGCAGCTATCGATTTAGTTATATTAATCTTGAATCTCCCTAAAATTGTGGATACTTATTCTGTAAATATAAAATAGATTACAATAAAAAAGAAAAATGAAATATCATAAAATTGTAGGAATATCAAATTTCTTGAGGCTTTCATAACAAATTATGAAAATATATTATTACAGATGAACAAAAATTATTATATAAGGGTTATTTTAGTTTATTAAATGCTTTCACAGTTTGGATGGCAAATCCTACTTCCCCCTATGTATATGTATAAACAAATAAATAAATAAAGATATATATTATAATTTATAATTATTTATATATATTAATATTTATTTATTTATACTATATATACATATAGTTCCATTTAAAAATAAAAAGATCATCTTGAAATCTCTGAGATACGTCCAATTAGACAAGATTTATAACCATCACAAGATTTATCCTTGGAAATAAAATAAGTTCTATTTAGAATACTTCGTTAAGGTGATAATTGAGTGTAAAACTTCATATGGAACACCCTGTATATATATACATGTATGTATTTGTAGGTATATGTGTGTGTATACATAACATACATATAAATACGTATGTACACTCGCGCATATACTTATTTATTATATCACTGTAAACCCTGTAATATTAAAACAAAATTACTGAAATAAATATCACATCTCTGTACCATTTGTATAAGATGCTTTTTATAAATAAAACATTCTTTTAACATATCAGAAAAGGACACATTGGTGAAGGAATTCATTGGCGAAAAATTGCATCTACATATTTTAATTAGTGTGAATACGTCTTTTTGTTAGTAAATACTATAACAACATAAATAAATATTTTAATATTTGTATAGAATTCTTAAATTGTTTATTTGTAAAAGATATCCACATAATAGTGAAATGAAAGAGATATGCAGTTTCATTCTTACAGAGTTTTTTTTTCCATTAAATTAATTGTATATTTAACGCATATAGAAATATAAGAAATATTATCATTTCCATAAACTTAAATGTTATTGAATGATGATACAAATTTTATATCATAAAAAAATATATTTTTACAAATTTGAGTATTTTTTAATACTTTTACAAAAAGAAAAAAAAAAAAGAAGCAATTTTCGTTTATATTTCAATAGTAATAACTAATTTTTTTTTTCACATAATTTGAATATTATTATAAGATATATGGCACAAAATATATTAAATAGTAATTGAATAGTATGAAAGATGAGACATCATGCAATATATATTTTATAGTAAAATGCATTTATGTATAACATGATATTCCATATTTGTTATTTAACTTTTATCTGAAAAATATAATCATATCACTTACAATTTCAATATATTTATTATAGATCATCTCAAACGAATTTTCAATCATTTTAAATGATTAAATAAAGTCAACAAATAAATTCAAATGAATAACATTAAAGAATAATATTTAAAGAAAATATGAATGAACACTAAACGTAAAATATGTGTTTATTATCTTTCATTTTATGAATCGAATTGTCGAAAAATGGTATGATTAGAAATGARTGAATGATGATGATGATGATATGCTAGGATTTTGTTCTCGACATCATCACATATTTTCTATTTCCCGTTCATCACTAGCATTTTTAATGTTATAATGTACATGAACGATATTTTCTAAATTGTTACTCTCATCGCTATCTGTCACATACATTATTTCGTTATTATAATCAATATGATTCACGTCTGAAATATTACTTGATATTTCGTCATTATTTTGATCACTGTCTTCTATCGAGGAATTTCTATCAAAACCTTCATCGTGATCTATACCTAAATATTCTGCGTCGCCTAAATACATATAATGTATGTATGTAAACCGTAAAAACATCTTATCATGCGCTTATGATTATCTAAAAACAAGTATTTTATTATTTACCTTCTATAAAATCAAAGGGAATTAATTCTCTATGATCTCTTAAAACATGCCCGCCAATATCTATTGGATTAGCCATTTCTAATATTCTTAATAGCCATACAGGAAAGCCATTTTCAACAACATAAATATCATTTTCATTTTCAAGATCATTCTCCAAAACATTAATCAAAGGTTGTAGATTTTCGATATCATTATCAGCCACAGCCATCATATTATTACCTTCACCATCCCTATTATTATTAGCAAGATCACCATTTTCTATTATCACTGGTTCTGGATATGCAAACTGTGGTGCTTCCGCAATACTTGGAGATTCTGAATCAGATATTTGATCATGTGCTATACTAGAAAGATCATATTCTGGTGTCATGTCTTGTGCTGATGATGCAGTGTTTGGATAACCAGAATCCATAATTTCTGGAGACCAACTATTCGGGGGTGTTTCTAAAGGGTCTGGAGAATTAGGTTTTATTTCTAAAATGTTATTTGAACATTTTATACCCTTTGCAATAATACTGTTTAAATCCTTACATTCAGCAACAGTACTTATTAAGCATGTACCAGATTGAATACTATTTACATTTTCTGTTTCTTCAGATTGTAATATAAGGTCACTACTTTCTTTGGCACATGGGAGGCTAATACATTTTTCTTTATCAGACTTATCAATATTCGTAAGGGAAGATTTAAACGCATTCTCTTTATATAATGGATGATCTGCGGTACTTGAGTATGTTTCAACAGAAAATAACTTTCTTTTATTTTCATTTATATTATCGATAGCCTTTATATTTGATTCCTGTGTTATAATCGCATGATCTCTTTCTGAAGTTAATATTTTATGGTTGTTTGAAGTAATTTTATCTGAAGGCATGTTTTCTAATTCATATGTTTTTGATAAAATTATATGTTCGTTTTCAGTCTTGTCGCATTTTATGCTAGTATCATAACTGTCGTTGTTCATAGGTAGACTTAATATAGTCGATGCATTAGTATTATTCAAATCTTTTGGAGAAGTTTGGCAAATACTTACTATGTCATTAGAAAGTATCCGTTGTGGTTCAAGTTGTAGGGTTTTTGATATATTACTTTTACTTACACTGTTGTCAAACTCTGATGATTTGTGCCTAACACTTGCTTCTTTTGTTTTTTTTGTAACAACATGCGGTGAACTTGTGTATTGCGGCTGATTTGTACTTGATGCAGATGCATAATCTTCAACAACAAAGTGATCTTCATAATCATCAATATTGTTTTTCTCCATATTTACTTGCTCAAGTTCTGTAATATTTTCTTCAAAATATTCATCAATTTCATTCTGGAAATAATTTGTGCATTCTGATGATACTTTTCCATTTGAAGATGTATTCAAATGCATGCAATTGGAAGCAGTTGCTTTCTCCAAATCAACGGATTCATCTCTCAATATGTCTAATGAATGAAAAGTGTTATTTAGCAATGATGAACATGACATATTTTTATCTGTAACTATATCCTCGCAATAGGAACTGTTTAATTGATCCAAATGAATTGATAATGGTGGAGGTAATATTGAAGTAGATAATATTGATGTAGAATGATGGTAATCTAATGCCCTATCTACTTTATCAGCAAGTTTTATAAATGTATTATTCTCATTGTATGCATTTGAATAATTAGCCGTATCACTATTAGACACCATATAAGAGTTTATTTTATGAGATGATGTATCATTAAAATTTGATCTATCAGAAGGATTATTAGTATTTGATAATTCATGTTCGGCATCATACAGATAAGTATTACTATCTTGTATGATGGAATTATTCTGAGGTATAACAAAACTTAGTTCTTCATCCCAGTTTTCAGAAGGCCAATAATGATCTTCTGAATTTGTGTATCCATTATAATCTAAAGATGTTTCAGATTCTTTAGATAATCTATCGTCATCGAAGAAATTATCTTCGATAGCATTTGGTTCGTCTGAGGTTAATACAACAGGACCTTCTTCACGATCAACAATGGACCATCCCCCTTCTTTTAAGATTATTCTTAAGGATTCCATTGTAACATTAAATTGCTTTAATAATGAAAATAAAGTATTAAGGGATAATTCTCCCTGAAAATTATTAAAATTGGCAGATCGGCTCATATGATAACTGATTTCGTCCAAAATTTTTTGTTTATTCGAACGCTTATCAACTTTGTATGGAAAATCATTCTTAGTAACGAGTTTAAATAAATTATCAACACCTAATAATTGTGAACTATTTTCTTCGCTATTACGATGAAAAATAGCCATTTGAGTACAAGCACCTAAGTACTCTGTATCTTTAGGCCCATCACCAATACCATGAAATGTCACTTGATAATCTGAATATCTTAAAACAATATTATAGGCCCTACAAAGAAATGTTTTTTTTTTTTTTTGAAAGTATTAGTAAATCAAACTAACTACATTAACGATTATATATACTCTAACTACATTATAATTAATTAGAATGTGTAAAAAGTTTACCAGTCTTCAAATTGTTCTCTAGTCCATTCAAATTTATGATCATAATGTCTAAATCCAGATAAACGGTTAAATAATACATTGAATTCTGCATTTGGCGTAGTTATAATGACTACTTTAGGTTTGATGTAACCAAAGATGTTAAATTGAAAATCTATTAATGTATCAGGATACAAATGTTCGATCCTACAAAATTTTCGTTACTACATTTTAATACAAATAGATTTAAGAAATAATTATTATTGGTCATAACGCACAATTCTATACAGATGACAGCATCAGTTTTCTCCAATTTTGTATCATTGTTTGTAACACTTCCCTCATAAACATAAACTACAAGAGGATTACTTCGATAATGTATAAAATCACAAAATAGTGGCTTAACTTTGTGTTTGTTTTCTTCAAGAACAGATCTATCAACGTCTATACATAATATTTCTTCTATTTCGGGAATACTTTTGAGATGAACAAAAAATGAAAGTTCTGCACAGCCAAAATCTACAACCTATAATATGATAAACTTCATAAAATTAACAAAGATCTTTTCATTATTAAGAAATTTTCAAAAGCTATATGATTCGCAATTAAAACAAAATAAATAAGTTAAATAATTATGAAAAGCATATAATTGAGATATCGGACCTTTCGTATCTTGCCTTTGTATTTATCACTGTTAAGTATTTTAATTACACTATTATATCTTTGGATATACATTGGCGGATGAAATCTTATACTTGGAGGTGAATAATCCTCGAGTGTATCAATATCTGTATAATATTCTTCTGATGTGTGTGGCATTTTCACATGCTCTGTTTTTTTGCTAAAATAACTATCATATACATACTTCCCAAAAAAATAAAATACATGAAATAAAGTAAAAAACATAATTATTTTATATGCAGTTCAAATTTTAACGAATTTCAACTAATACATTTGAACTATTGAAGAACTGTTTGAACGAACAACAACCATAACAGTTTAATGTTTTTATTTAACTGACAAGCGGCATCTACCTCATGCGTACAAAGTGCCATCTATCTCACGAGTAGACAGTGCCATCTACATCACTAGTAGAAAGTGCCATCTACCTCACGAGTATGAAGCGCTGTCGTCACGCACATGACTGTTATTGAATTGATTGAACGTATATTTTAATCGGCAATAACATAATAAATGGAACTCACAATCAATTAATGCTTTACGTTTCATTCTTAATTTTCAAGTTTAAATACACTCACTGTTTAATAAAGAAGTTGACCTAGTTTATTTAAGTAATCTAATTTTCCAAATCTTTCAATAAATTCATTGTACTTCATTATTATTATTAGTAAATTTCTTTACATTTATATTTTTAATAACATTAATAAGATTTCGATAATAACGGTACACCTGTGCGAGCGCGCGCTTTTTTTTTTTAATGGCTAATAGCCAGCAGGAACATAAAACTCAAATTTACATTATTAAAAATTTGGAGAATATATCTATATACATAACATTGAAAGAGATATTAATATGTTAAATTAATAATACATTCACAATTATGTACAAGCGGATAGTTAAATATCGTATATTTTTCTTAAAGCGCAGATTGTCAGAAGTTTTTTTTTGTACCCTTATTTTGAACAATATATAATTTATGAAACGAACACCAAATATGGTGATAAACTTGAAGGATCACATAATTTTATATATATATATATATGATTTTAAATATCATTTTAAATAAAATGACGTAAAATATACATTTTACAGACTGATAGAATTACTTACTTATTAATGGAAACAATACAAGTCATAAAAGATATACGTATGATGTGATACAAAATTAATTAATCATGACAGAAATACATTTAGAATCTGATATTTCGAAATGTAAATGGAAAGACTTTGTAGTATTATATATCGTAATGCATCATTCATTTTTTATAATATGTATATAAAGTTAAAGTTATAATTATCAATACAAATTGTATAGAATGAGATAAGAAAAACTCATATCGCTCATATTAAAAATAAGCCTATTATTTTAGGAAAGTGAAGGCCCTTTGATTAAATATTTTCTCATTTAATTGATTGCACAGTAATATTTTTAATTGACAAAGGTGATTGATTTACGGTGATTCATAATATGCTTTATAATATTATATATTAAATGCATTTAAGTGCGATTCATTGGTAGCAATAAGGAAGAAAAATTGATTTAACATTTTCAAATATTTTAAACTATGAAAAAAGATCATCAAATGGCGCATGTTAGAATGCGCTTGAACTGATTATAGGAACTAATTAGGAAAACAGGAGAAAGAGGGAGATTATTTGTTAAAAATTGTATACACCATAATGATCGTTCTTTTATCAAGAGTTTAACTTTCATTAGTTAAATAATAATAAAGTTTTGCATATAATAATATAAGACACTCAGGCGCTCACGCGACTATCATGTCTATTCATATCACATATATCTGTTAAGCGGTCCTTCCCTCTCATCAATTTTATCGGCATAACTATGCACGATATTATATTATAYTAGAATAAATATCACATGGAAGGATGAAATTTCGATTTAATGCGGGCTTTAATGTGCTGCTTAAGGAGGAAAGAGTTATAGTCAATTTCGTAGGACCGACCTATCGACGTTATCCTGTCGACGGTGATAATAATTTATAAAATTTCATAAAAATAATTTAAATACTTTCGTGTAACAAGTTCAAGCGTAGGATTGATCTAAAGATATAGCTATTTTATTTCCTTTTTCTACCCAATTTCTCAGTCGTCCTCTAAGTTCCTCTAAACTCTTCGATTTAGCCTTATTTATTCTCTTATATTTTACGTCTTTCGGCTTTGTCACCGATCTGTGATTACTCATTACTCTATTGTATGTCACCTGAAACAAAAAGATTTATAAAATCCAGCCAAGTGTAAATAATTAGTAAAGAAATACGTGTCACTTATCGAAAATGATCGCAAAGATCGTCGTTCTCGATCGTCGTTCACCTGAGCTTGTTGACTCTCGTCTCTCGGTCTTTCATTTTCCAGAGGATCAGCTTCCTGTGCTAGTCTTTCAAAGCTACCATATAGCTCTTGTAATCTGCCTTTTCCATTTCCCAAGTTTTTCGTCCGCCTCTCATCGCATTCGTAATTATCCGTAGATTCAGATGGTTCCTGGTTGCTTTCACTGTCGCCATCTTCTTCTACCGAATACACGGTTTCTAGTATCTCTGGCCTACGAAGAAAACCATTGCATCTTCGCATTGACGAATATTTGCTCGATGGTTCAACTGCATCGGATACCGATCGTATAACCGTTACATCCGTGATGTTTGAACGAAATCTGAGAGGAACAAAATAAAATAGAAATATCGATGTCGACAAAACATTTACGAAATAAAACGTTTGACAAAATGCGCAGAAAATGTTTACCTTGGTGGTGCTGGGTCATCCGCGGCCTCTTCGAGTACGACGGCGCTATCGCTGTCTCCCAAACTATCCAGTCTATCAAGAGCATCGTATGGCGGTGAATCTCTCGTACCTGTACCACTCCTATCCGCTAATCTACTTTGTAATTGCCGTATCACTCTTTGTTGCCTGAGAATAATTGATTCCCGCTGCACAAGGTTTGCCTCGATTTCCTTCTGTTTCCGACACAGTCGTGATTCGAAGAGGAATAGTTGCGAAGACAACGTGCATAGTTGTTCAGCTTTTTCTCTTGTTAATCGCGCCACAAGTTCTTCCTGAAAAACGTTTAAGTATTAGGTATATTTAACAATAAATATTATCATACACGAATAAATCTACTATGACGGGTCAAATAACACTTTTTCAACTTTTATAGTGTTATTTTGTGAGTGAAAAATTGTTATTGCATAAATGCTTTGTTTTTTATTATGCATACATCGTAAAATACAATAGATGACTTTTTGAAAACGGGCCATTTAATACGCTGTGTAGTAGAAATAAATATATATGAAGCATCGATACGTTTGGTGTTAAATCTTATTAAAATGATGCATCATTGAACTTTACCTGCAATTTCAGTGTCCTCCGCCAAGCAAGCATTTGATGTGCTTGTGCCCTTTGTTTTGCTCTAAGCGTTGCTATGACTGATTTCGCTTCTTCCAATGATGTCACTTCTACGTCATTTCCGTCCTTTACTACGTCCTCTGAAAAATCGTTTACCCTATCTTCCGTTACCGTCATCAACGAGTAGCTGTCCATCGATGTTTCGTCAAAACTACTACTGCAAAAGAAAATGCAAAGGTTATCAGTCTCGTTTACGTTCTATTCAGGATACCTTTCAAATCAATCTTTTTTTTTATCGTAACCATTTTTTATAAACATGTTTAACTTAAAATATAATAAAATTGTCAAAATAATAAGAAATAGGACGATATTATTTAATAGGAATGCGACGAGAAAAGGATCAATCAATTCCATGTCTATAAACTCTTGGAGTTTGAGAGTCATTTGGCCATAACAGGCCTTTGACTATCCGGCTAAAAAACGCGGCAGCAGAAAAATATCATAGGAGATTATTGAGTTACGCATAAAATATAATTTTGGATTTTTTATATTTTACTATTTGTATAAATAAATAAATAATTATCATTTGCTTGTTGAGTATTCAGTCATACATAGGTATAAATATTATAGAATACTAGCACATCGATTACAAGAAAAGCACAAATAGATATCTGTATTAAAAAATAATTATTTTTCCACAAAACGTCGAGAACATTTTTTGCTTCGGAAATAAAATTTGTAATTATAGCTATAACTAATAGTATGCGTTGTATTAAAAGGAAAAACTAAGATTTAATGTGATATATTAGATATAATATACAAATTTATTACATAATACAAAACATTACTAAATACAGAGTAGAAATTTCAAAAAGTGCATAATATTTAAATGTTATTATATTAAATATGTAAGAATAATATTAAAAATATGTATGATGTTATGGAAGATTTTCAAATACCTAAACATCCAACAGCGATCCAATCTTAATCAAATATTTAGATTTCAAGATGAGAATCTCAAGATAGTAGACACATTTGTGTTATTGAAACAGGACAACTTACCACCGCTCTATTGGGCTCTTAGCAGAATTGAAAAAATCCATCCAGAGGCAAATGATGTTGTCGGAGTTTCGTGACACAGTTTCAAAGGGGAAAAAGACTGTTTAAGAGACTAGTCAAAAGTCTTCGTTCGTTACCTACAAAAGGTAAAAATTGATTAATTGTTGGTTCTATAGCAATTACTAATTTTTTACACGAATATTAGTTAATATTTGTAAAATACCTTTATTTATCCCATATTATCTTATATATTAACCTATATACTTACCTTGCTATACATTGCTCATTTTTGATATTTATTTGATAATTTATTTTATTCTTAGCTGTGATCTAGTTTTACAAATTAAATGAATAATATTCGGAAAAAAAACTAACTCTTCAATGAGCGTAAATGTCGATAGGAAGTGTATAAGACAGGAACAAACTAGGACGAGGACGTAAGCAATTAAATAGGACTGCAAGTAAATAACTTCAAGAACGTTGATTGAACTTATATTACAAATGTGATAGTAAAACAGTTCTATCAACGCACCAGTCTAAAACCAGATACGAGAAGATAAATTACAATCTTTCCAACTATAAATCTGTTAACTTTTCTTAATTATAAGTGAAGATGACATTTCTTCGTCACTTTCTGTCATATTTTACTTTTTCTAATCAATTAGAAAACCTTAACAATTTATTTGAAATAAACATAGGTATACTATACACTATTAATCATAGTTCCAAAACTATATTATTTCTAATCAAAGAAATTTGCAGTTAGCATTAAGTGAAGAACAACTCGACGAATAGTATTTTCTTACAATCTTCTTCTTCGATCTCTCTCTCTCTCTCTCTCTCTCTCTCTCTCTCTTTTACTAACTATATATATATACATTACTTGCAGAGCTTCTTGGATGCTAGAAGGTGTAAAAAAAGAGTAGGACCGTGTATAGATCATGCACGTATGAGGTAGATTGCGGGGTGCTGGCCAATCATGAAATCAGGTACACGTGCAGTACCAGACGGTATGCACCGTAGGATACGTCTTATTATAGAACCCATGGGATTCCACTTTGCGTTTAAGAAGAAGAAGAAGGTATCAGCTATTCTTTCTTTTTCTTTCGAACTAGTGCAAGTGAAAGAGATAGATAAACTGATAGATAGATAGAGAGAGACAAAGACAGACAGACAGAGTGAGCAAACATGGAAAGAACGAAAAAGCAATCTTTCTATGGTCGAGCAAAGAGATTCTTGCTAGAAAGAGAATGAAGAGAGGAAGAATATTTCAGAGGTGTGTCCACCGATCCACCAGGTCAACATTGTTACCTTTATTATTGGTATAGTACCCTGAACACAACTTTCTTCGTGTTTTTTTTCTTCTTTTTTGAAGTGAAAACTTTGTTATCATGTTCGAGCATATTTGATGAAAATTTTAAAAATTAAAACATCAAAATGAAAATCATAAAAGATGTATTTATGTTAAAAGTTCTGAAATTGTTTAGTGAGTGGAAATATTCATTTAATAAGATTATTAAATTATTAACCAATGAAACAATTAGATATTAACTATAGGTTATTAAATTTAAACTCCAGTGTGTTCGACGCATACATAATATATATATGTATATATATATCACCATATAGAAGAAGCAAAATACGATAAATTTTCGTTCTTTGCTGAGCACGCGTAAACACGAGCCAATATTCCTCTTATTTACTACGAAACCGATACGCGATATGCGCCAATGGAGGTGCAGTATCCAAGCAAAAAGGCACCAAATGATGTATCCTGGGCATAGCGCAATCAATTACTTTCCATTGAGGTGCACAGTATGTGTATTAGATAGAAAGGTATAACATACATATACCCCATGTATTCTTAGAGCTCTCACAAAGTCGATTAGCATTTTTCTCACTTTGACTCAACGCTCATCTTCAGAATAAAGTAGAAGTGTCGTTTGCATATTAGCAGCATGAATGATGGCACGACATTTATTTTACACGTGATTGGCAGCAATAAGACCGATTTTCCTTTTATTAGACTAATCAAACTTGGCTTATCAATCTTTTATTGGAATTTGGAAAGCATAAAGTGAAATGAAAACAATGCAAAATAAGTAAATTTGTATTATTAATAATTAATAGCATTTTGTACTTTTGGTTATCACTTTGAAAAAGCTCATTTCTCTTTATCTCTTTTTGTAATTTATCCTCGATACGACAAATACGTAATCTATCATGATAGATAAAGCTATAGACAATTAATGCAAGCTTATCTGATAATGAATGTTGTATCGAAACGATCGGAACAGGAGTTGTGTGTGTGTTGAAGAATGAACATCGAACATACACACAGGAGGCGATTTGCTGTAATTTTGTCTTACTATTTTTTCTTGAATTTTGCAACTTTTATAGGATTGTTGTATTTTTAACTAGATGAGAAACCCTATGTCTCTGAGAAAGATTACAAATTTATATATTTCTCGTAATATAAGTTGGTTTGTTCTCTGTCTTTTTCTTTATTGATCTCTTATCTTCTTTCTTTATCCAACGTCAAATAAAATAGCATCTCCCTTTGTTTTTACGTTCTATGCATGTATACAAGATCTTATTGATTTTGTAACCAAGTTATTATCGGCAGGGTTGCTTATTATCGTTCGAATCTTACGTTATCATGTTTATTTTTCGATCTTATGGTTAATCCCCATTTCTGTGTTTTATATCTTGTCTAAAGTATTATTTTTCGCGTTATCTCTTCTATAAGATAAGTAAGAATATTGCTCGTATCCAATAAAATACTTTCACGTTCAAAATATTGTTAATATCATTTGAAATTTTTCAATAAAAAAATAAAACTAAATATTAATAACTTTGAACAATTCTTTGGTCTTTAATTGTATGTTTGGTTTTTTTTTTCACAATTTAATAATACATTCAATTAGCAACCCTTCTTGAGCTTATATGGGATTTTTTAAAAGTCAATGAAAAAGTATTTAAAAAATTAGTCCTTATGATCATCTACTTCTCTAAATATCGCATTAAATTGTCGTTTAATAAATGTCATAAATGTGTATATATATATATGTCATACAACATATGCTTACTAATTTCTACGATAAGTTACGATAAGTTACGATAAATTAATGAGGAGTGGGATACATCCGGTTTTCATAGAAAACATTTATAAAAAAAAAAAAAAAATACATAATATCTGTCATCGGCTTTAATTCATGACGTAAAATGAAAAATGAGCATTTTCTGTTTGCAATACTAAATTTCTTTTCCAGTATTAGCATTTGCTAGCTACTTAGTATTTTATCTTTTGTACTTCTTTTCTTTTGTCGTTTTTCTTTTTCCTATTCTTCTTTTCTTAATCTATCTTTTCTATTTTTCTTTTTTTTTTCTTTTTTTTTTTAATAAACTGCAGTGACCCGCTTTCCGCGATAGAATTTTCAAGTGCGTTCGAAATTAGCACGGGTTAGCTGGTGCTACTGCCACCGCATATACAACGTCGGCCATGCGACTTTCCAGATGCTTATTCTCGATGTTAATTACGCTTTGGCGCCGTGTATAACGCGAATTGCATCGAAAACAAGGTGTTCAATAACGCAATAAGAAAATATCTTTAAGAGTTTAACGTCAAATCGAGAGTATAATTTAACCAGTTTAAGCGTGTTTGACGACTATATCCGTCATGAAGATGTGGCAAAATTTTGTGTTATGACGCCTCTATATCCGTCATGCGTAAAAATTTGTTACGATTTGATGTTTAAATTGTAATTTTGGTAGCGAAAATTAAATTATATTCGTAAATTTTAATATGTTTCAAATGCTTAGAGGTGAAACAAAGAAAAACAAAGTCAAGAATAAATTTGTAACTACTATAAATATTCGATTATTTTTTCTCTAATTTTTCCGTTTATTATGTATAAATATATATTTATATTAAAAAACTGTGTGTTTTTCACATTACTAACAAAATTGTTCATTATTTTCTAAAATAAAGTCGTCTTTTTGACTATTCAATATTTTAACAGCGCCACTTATTCTGTGTTTGACGACTATATCCGTCATCGCTTGATTATCGCGACACACACCAGAGTGCACTCTGCGCACAGATCGCCACATTAAACTGATTAAAGATTCAAAAAAACGTGATTAGAATCAAATACAGTGATCCATGGAATATGATTATTTTATTGTTAGATCATTTTATCTCTAATAATTTAGGAAAGAAATATTTTTTGATTAATTTAACGTAATTGAAGAAGAGTATTATTACAATTGTATCCAATTTTTGACTATAACTCGTTGTTTTCTAAACTTTTCAAAATTATCTTCAATTTTTTTTATAAGTAAAATCTATAATTTATTTACAACCATTTTCTTGACGGATACTAATTGCACAAATTTGACAAATAATTTGACAATAACATTTTTTTTTTTATCTAAATTCAAAATATATTAAAAACTTATTAATTGAAAGAATTTGACATTATCTTATTAAGGAGCACGTATTATATGCTAGGCTTTTGTACATGGATTGATTTTTTGATAGATGATCATTGATCATGAAAAAATGTGTTTCAAATTACATTACCGAATGTTTTATATACTTCATATTATTTTTTGTTTCAATATAATATATTTTTTTTGTGAGAAAAATTCTTAGATTTTTTTTCTTCTTCAAGATTTCTCGTTAAATCCGTTGGGAGAAATTTGTGTAAGTCATAAAAGACTTCTCTTTTGACTTTCCTTCCTTTGAGAAAACACGTACCATGCTAATTAGAGTAGATATGTACCTACTTCTCAAGCTGATTGAAAGATATGAATCTTTGCATGTAGTTTGCAATGGATCACTTTTTGTGAAATATGTTTTTCTTTATAATAAAACTATTATAAAGATGTTTTCATTTTGTTGATCCTGTCTGTGATACGTACCTGTAACAAAAGACACACCAACAAAAAAACATGATAGTTTTAACATGAATAATGAAAGAAGACTAAACTGATCATATTTATTCTAACATTGAAAGTTTTTGAAGTGAAAACTTCTTTAGAATCAGGGTGATTTGAAAATCGTGAAACGGAAGAACGTGAAACCGATGAAACAAAAATAGTTAATAAAATTCAATATATAATTTAATTCTAT